AGGGACCTCTGAGGTTGCAGTGTACGTACTGTTTGCACACCCCATCTGCGAGGTCGTTAATCAGCCCGCCGCCTCCACGGATTTTCCATGGCCACAGGCGGCGATGAAGTCCTCTTTGGTTTTGTGCAAAGGCACCCAGTGCCACCCAACCCTAGAAGGATCACCCTCCTGAACATGCTGCCAAAGGTCGGCATTGGCTTTCCCCGGTTTTGGTGCACGACTCCTCTTCTCGACACCCACGCAGTCCAAGGTGAGGTCATGAGCTCGCCTTCGGTGTGCTTGAGCAGGAGTGCGACCGCATAGGTCTCACCGCGGAAGACTGTTTGGCGGCCAGGCAGCTGGGCAACAATGCTTCCTCCTTGCAGGAGGTCGGAGCCCTCCTTCTTAAGGGCAAGGACACTTACTCCTGCTCGGCGCAGCTTCGGGTCTTTGGTCCATTTGCCGCCGCTGGCGTCAGTGGCGAAAACGCGTAGGAAGGGTTAAACCTTCAGCAAAAACACCTGTGTAGTGGAGGTCCGGGTTGTTGTAGGCGGTGCTCTCCGTGAACCCAACCAACCCTCGCGTCCACAAGGCCGAAGAGCCTTCACGCTTGCCTTCGCTGAACCACCCTGGTGTGTCCAGTATCTGCGTGCTCCACCACTTGCAGTCAAACAGCACATGGTCCCAAGTACACGGGACACCACACAGCGGGCAGTCCTTAACATTGCCGGCTTTGTCATGGGCGACAGCGCCCTGCCAGACCCCCCGCAAGCCGCGGGCAAGCGTGGGGTCTTTGGCGCGCAGCTGCTTTAGGAGGAGTCGACCTACCTGCCAGTCGAGGCCGTGATTGAGGCTGGGACAGCCAACCCTTTTCCCTTGTCGATTGTTTTCGACTCTGAGCTTCGTGTCCTCCAGGGCAAGAAACTGTTGGTTCGGCTCCTGCACGTTGAACTGCTTCCCTGAGGACCTGCAAGAAGATTACGAAGCCTCTGACGCGATAGTAGGCGAAAGAAACGATAAAGGCAAGCAAGCAGGTGAAAAAGGTGGACCAAACACGAAGTCCTCGAGTCCGTTCGGGGCGATGCCCGCTAGCTACTCCCTACGTGTAGCTCGAGGAAAGGCGGTGCCTTGACCGTGCTCATGCAAGGTCTGCGGATCGGGACCGTCGTAATCAACGTCAGCGACCCCACGTCATTGATGACCATCCTGCCCGTCAAGAGTACTTTGTAAGTCAAGGCCATCTCCATACTTTTTGTGGTTGGGCTGTCGTTACCCTTGGGAGCTTGGCCAAGGATGTCATCCTCGCTCGCCAGATGGCCCAGTACGCTTCAGCGCGAAGGAGTCCCAAAATTTCCGGAGCAACCAGTGACTGGAAATCATCCACCACGTGCACCCAGTCCAAGAAATCCTTCTCGCCGCAGAGATCAGCCATGGTCGCGGGTGGCGCTAGTGCCGGTGGCGGTGTAGTGCCGATCCGGTATGGCATGGTGGTTATTGGGGAGTCAGCGCTTTGGTTCCCACGGCGAGGGTGCCGGTGTACTGCTGTCTTGATTTGTCAATCCCTTAGGAATCAGCTCCTGAACAGTGGTTCTATCGAGGCGGCTGTAGTACTGCAACCACTTTTACGTCTCTAAGGACTCTGAAAATTGTCGCAAGAGGCCGTCGGGGTTTTCTTGGAGGCAGCATCGCCCTTCCAAAAGTATAGCTATTGCCAGCACCTTGTCAATGCCACCACTTCTCTCTTAACCGTGCGCATCGCTAGGGATAGCTTGCGTCTTCTTGATGTCTGGCGCGTGGTCTCCAGCAGAAGATAGGGCCAAAGCCAAAACAGAGATGCCATCCCAGTTTGAGGCCCACGTCACAGCCGTTGTGTTGCCGAGCGAGCGTTTCCGATCAGTCACATCCTGGATGATGACTCTGTAAAGCTCTTTGCAAAAAGTCATGTAGCTGATGTTGAAACTCTGCTGATCAACCAGGTCCGGGCCAAAGCAACGTCTCAGGGCTGCAAAAAAAACTGGATGGCCTGCCCTGCCCCTGAGTATAGTCCTTGGAAGATGTGATCCTTCTCGGCACCTATATGGCCGTGATGAAGCTGAACTGCAGCCTGCCGGTACCTACGCCGTCTTGTCCATGCAGGTCCCTCCTCCCAGGTACAGCATACTTCCGCGCCCTGCTCGTTGTATGTCAGGGCGGCGTCTAGGTGTGGCGCCACCCCTCCTGTCAACGACTTGCCGGCGTGCAGTTGGTCCGGGTCGTCGACGAAACACCCTCACATGATGACGGCTGTATTTCGTCGCAATCTGCTTTGGACTGTCCATCTCATCGCGGATGAAGGTCTGCAGCGTTTGGTGGGGGGAAAGGCCAAGCCCACCCCCGTTGATCGGTCCGGTCTGCGTCGTCCCGCCACCCCTTGTCCCGCGAACGCTCGGCCCTCTTTCCCGTCCCCGTCCAGGGCAACCCGCCATAAGCCGCTCACAGCCTCCTCAGCCCCCTTCGTGATCGGATTTTTGCCATTGCGTCTACGGCAGCGGCACGCGGAACCTTCCCCGACCCCGTCGAGACGATGCCGTGAGGCCTCCCCCTTCACTACAAGGGCTTTCCGTCTGCGAGAACGTTCGGAAGTGAATGCTGCCCCGCGTGAAGGGAACGCAGCTGCGAGGGGTTTTTGGGAAAACAACAACAACAACAACAACAACAACAACAACAACAACAACAACAACAACAACAAAAACAGCAACAGCACCAACAGCACCAACAGCACCAATAGGACCAACAGGACCAACAGCACCAACACCACCAACAGCACCAACAGCAACAGCACCAACAGCAGCAGCACCAACAGCAGCAGCACCAATAGCAGCAGCACCAATAGCAGCAAGAAAAGCAGCAACTACGGCAACAAAAGGGGTAATCAGCCTGAGCCTCAACATCAACATAAACATTGTTCATGATGCTGGTTTAATACTAGTGGTAATAACAATAACAGTAATAACAATAGTAATAGTAGCAATAGTAACCCCCCGCTTACTTTAACCAGGTTAATACTCAAATAGTAATCGTAATCGAAATAGTAATAGTAATAGTAATAGCAATATTAATCGCAATAGAAATAGTAATGCTAATAGTAATAGCCAATGTAAAGGTAATTGTAAAAGTAAGGGTCATGAAAATCGTAACCGTACTGGTAATAGTACTAGTGGTAGTCATAGTAATATTAGCAGTAAGAAACAACGATAATAGTAACAGTGATGATGAACATAATCATAATATAGACAACTTATACTACTAATTCCAACATCATGATCAGAGTTTTGATGATAACAATATTTATCATGACAGTCATGAGGACACTAGCACCTATAATAACCAAGCTTATAATAACAACACGAATAGTAAAAATTACAACAGCAACTTTTACAATCATATGAATATCAATGATAGTAATAATACAGAGGAAGAGGCTGTGGGGCCTGTTTTTTGCTAAATAGTAGTAGTTGTAGTAGCAACACTAGTAATATTTGTAATAGTACATAGTAACAATCATTATTGTCGTCTTATTGAATTGTCATTCCCTAACAAGTTCATATGCCGACGACGGCGACGGCGACTCCACCCTTCAAAACCTCGTCCGCACGCAGCGCATGCCTTACAAGCCTCAAACAACGCACTCCGTAGTGGATCAAATCATGGGCAAGCTGTGTGCCAGACAGCAAAAGACTGCTGAAAGGGCCTCGGTTGTGCATCTGCAGGTCCGAACGCAGGTCTTGCTTCCTCACTATTATCAATGTTTAGTCGTCGACCGACCTCAGAAAAGCGTTGGGTGGAAACCGGTGAGTCTTCGGGGTTTCGGACTAGCTTTCCAGGATAAGGGTGCTTTCCAAGGGATGAGGCCCCAAATGGGGCACTCCTTGTGAATTTTGCAGTAGCAGTTAGGCACATTGAAATCGACATGTCCAAAGATCATGTCCTTCGTTTGCCAAGAGAATCCTATCAAAAGCCAAGCAAATCTGCAGGAGCAGAAGTAAGTGCTGGGCTCCTTCAGTTGGCTCCTGCATCTGGACATCAAGCACACTGATACGGGAAAATGCTTTCCAATTTAGGTCAGCTTGTTCCGGAAGGCCGCTCGCACAAATAAGTGCCAGATAGGAAGCAGCTTGGTGCCAGATTTGCAGACCCGCCCCCCCGCCGACTGTGCTGGTCCCCAGTGGCATACTCCGGAGCCTTTATGAGCCTTGTGTGAGGGAGGCCCGAGCTTCAAAGCTGTGAAATGTCACGAGATTGCAACCTCACGGGGCGAAGTTGCCGTGGCCCAGTGTACCGAACAAATCTTCGCTAAATATTTCGCTATGAACCATCCGAATTCAGTCTTGGCGTGGTGTCGGCTGGAGTGCAGGGAAATCCAGCAACGCATTTTGACTGTTCCTCCTTTTTCATTGCTGGCTGTAGGCGGCCAGTACTACAGAATCTGCCACGGTCTTGCACTCTCAATGGATAGTCATAGGCGGCACGATGCACATGTCACGTAAGCGGTTTGTACTCGGTCTTGTCACGGGAACGTAATGCTGATATGAAGACCCGTATTGAACAAAGCAATGGCGCATGATCAGTGACCCAAGTGAGAAATCAGGAGTGAGGCGCGACAAAACCTGAGCTGACGAGGAAAGTAGTTCTTAGGGCGCTTACCTCTGAACTCGCCAATGCAATCAATTTAGGGACCGCTGTTCAAGGGGCTTCACGTCAAGCCACCCCCGTCACTGAAGCTTTGCGTGTCGGCACCGGCAGAAGCAAAGCAGCCCTAGCACCACCGCTGCAACCAGGCTTCAACGCAGCATCTTAGACGCCTCTGCGACTGAAGCAAAGTAAGTTAAGTCAAACAGTTGCACTGCTGCGAGGATGCACATCGCGGAAGATTGGCAATTAAGTTGAATTGAACACCCAGTCCTCTGCGTCGTCTGCATCTTCCTCCGGAGTGGCCAACACGCGTTGGTCGATCCAAGCCACCACAGCAGTAGTTATCCGCACTATATCATAATATCATGATACCCATGTTCGCGAAGTCTTGCATGAGTGTGAACAGTTCCGGAAATCCTCTGCATCTGCATCGTCGTCCTTGCCCTTCTTCGCCTCGCGGCTCGGCCGCGAAGCTTGCGGACATGTGACAAAGGATGACAAAGGAGTGGGACACTTTGGAAGAGTGACATGTAGTCACCACGGATTACGTCTACAGATGTTTGAAGGGCCGATATGGGCCGACGGAACGCATTGGGCATTTTGCTTGAGCGACGTCGCAACAACTGGCCGTGTAGCATCAGAGGCGTCGACAAGCGGCTACAAAAATCTTCCCCACACGAATTTAATGCTTCGGCCTTGCTCACCAGGCGCTTCGAACTGAAGCCGCCACCTCGACGGCGTGCCTGAAAGGCAGTGCTTCTGCACGGGCCCAGGGCTTTGATGCTGCAGGGATTTGAGATGCTGTATAGAGGAGACGGTGCTCTCATACGTCTCTGCCCACCAATGTTTATGCACCCTGCATGCTCATGATCCCTCTGCAGATGAGATTCGTTTCAGCGTCCCTGCGTGGCCTTCCACTCACTGGTTCGAACGCGCTTTGCGGTGAAGTTGCGGCCCAGCACCAGCACGCACTGCCTGTACCGTCGCTCACATGCAAGCTTCGCAAGACTTCGCAAGTGTGAGAAGATTTATGATGCCTCGTAGCGCAAGCAAGTGCTCTGAGTCCGCAACTTGTTGACCAGAAAACTCTCATCGGACATATTCTTCGCGGCCAGCCTTTCCGCTGCCTGACGAAAGAACTCAGCTACATACCACACCATAAATCCACACCACAAGTAGTAGTGTATTCCTTCAAACTAGACCTCGGGTATAAATCGCACAGAGGTTAGAAGCCTTCCATCTGCGGTACTCTGTACTCTCACGACCTGGACCATGTCACCAGTGGCCTCCGCTTCTTTGCGATCCTTCTCATCGCACTCGTCTAGGGCATGCTCCAAACCTTGATGACTTCTTCTAGAACCGAGTCCTGCCCTCCCGCCAAGCTCCGGACGCTGTAAGTCCGCTTCCCAGAGAGCTTCGATGCTGGTTCCTTACATCTTACAACATCCACACCGAGAAACTCCGTGCATGCACGCCTCGAAGCTCATGGAGGGCCGCGTCCTTCTGGCCATGGAGTCTCTGCAACTCCTGCGGCTATGCCCAGCATCATGCTCAGGGTGGTGAGTACTGTGCTGGTCCCTCCTCGACCTTGTTCTCTGTCAGGGACCAAAGCTTCATAGAGAGGAGGTATTTGAAACCATCAGGACCCGCCTCTTCCTGGCCAGGCGTACGTAGCCATCGGCTAATCACTGAATCCTCATGTTGACGGCAAGATTGCGCGAACACCTGCATGAACGACTGTACCCGGAACCCAATCTGCACGATCAGACGGAGGGCGCGCTGAGGGCGTTGAACCCCCTTCTTTCTCTGCTGCTGCATTGCTCGCGTATTAGTACTTAGTATGTCCTCGAAAGGCGTTGCCGCAGCATGGCCAGAAACGACTACAAGTTCCATCGACTCATGACCAGAACTGAGATTCTTGCTTGAGATGACTGTCCACGGTATGTACAAGCTCATATTTCCAACGGTTGTTGCCATCAGTTAGTCCAACTTTACAGCATGCATGCCAGCGCTGTGCGCCGGGCGGAACACGAAGATCAGCTAATTAGCATTGGAGTCCATTGGAGGTTGTCGGCCAGGTTGCAACAGAACCACCCCATACTAGTAGTCTCACGTCGCCTCTGAGCTCTGCGGGTTTCCGCCGCAGAGTCGCGATGGGCGACAGAATTGAACCCCCATTCCCCATTCCTTTCACCGACCATTACGCAAGACACAGTTTTGGCATCACCGGCATACTGCGAGCCAAACTTCCTGGCTCCACCGCTCCAGCCACAAGACCCTCTGGCCTTGTCGGCTTGCGAGATGCCGAAAACAATGCACATGCGACCAGTAGCATCCTTATTGAACGTGTTGGCCTCGACGCGCCCCAATCGGCTTCAGTACTACTGCCCGACTTCTTCTGTCAAGCTCGGCAGCTTTCCTCTCATGTCATTCGTGCTGAAGTCCATGTGAGAACCTCAGGCACAAAAGGGCCGGCGGGTATCATCCCATGCCTGCACGCCGTTCAAGCTTTCGGGCCTGCAGCGGCCCCGCATTGAGCGCTGGCCTTCCGAAAGGCCACAGCCCATAGATAGAGTGGAGGTGCAAGCCATCCAGTTCTGGAGACAAACACCCCTCGAAGGGTTCCAGCACCCTGAGCTCCCTGGAACCGGTGTACGTGGACGAATTGAGCACGGCAGCCCAGAGCAAACGCGTTGAAACAGTTCCACCAGTTTTGCTCTGTCATGGCTGCGTGCTCCCGACCTTGAACATGAGCTCGTCACCCAACTCGGTGAGGGAGTCCATCCGCTTTCGCAGAACTCGGAGTTGGCAGTCCACCTGCAGTCTTCGTGAGTATGACCAAAACCCATGCCTTCGCATTGCACTCAGTCAAGGTTTAACAGCAATCGAAAACCTGAGACTCCGCGTAGCTGTGAGTTGCTGCTTCGAGCGGCTTTCAGGTCAAGGCCATGAGTGGATCTTCTGGCGCATGTGGTCGTTCATGGTAGCTGCTTCGGGTTGTGGGGCGGAGGCTGCTGGCCTGTACCCGTGGGGGGGTCAGCTCTGGTTTACTTTCTTGTTGAGTCTCGACATGGTAAAATGGCGGGCCGTGCCCTGCGCCCGCCTCTTTCAGGAGCTCGTCCCGCCGCTGCTGTGCCACCATGCGGGCCTGAGCCACGGCCTCTTGGCCGGCGGCCTCACAAGCCCAAAATGCGAGAGGCAGCACGAACGCCAAATGGAACAGTGGGCAGCATCTCCGAAAATCTGAAAATCTCTAGAATTTCTTGCCCCGATTCACAAAAAGGCAACATGAAGAATTAGCGCTACTAAATTTCCTGGCCAAGCAGTTGCCTTGCCTGCCTGCACCCCTTTCTCGTGGGAGGGATGCAAAACTGCGCGCACGTATTTCGGTATTTTTAGACTTCCAGGATGTGGGTCTGATGTGGACTTGGGAGGTGCCCATCACATAGGTTTGCCCAGTGGAGAGGCAATGAAGGGCTGGATCGAGTACGAAGTAGGGAGCCCGGTCCGGAAGCCCGCGACTGTTCTTCGGGCCCAGCGGTGCTGGGAGCGTCGACCCAGTCGGCAGCAACATTGTGCTGTTCGTGGCCGGGTACAGTACTGGGCCGTCATGGTGCAGGTGGGTTAGGTTACGGTTCCTTTTGCCAGGTCCGTTGTCGAGCACGTCTGTGTGCGAGCGGAAGTGCTGCATAGTGCTGCAACCTTTTCCTAAAGAATGCCGGTGCATCCATGGATGCGAAAATTATTCAGAAGCAACTCCTTACTTCTCTTAGGTTGGAAGCTCCCGTTGTGGCGCTCCGCAGCCCAGAGCTCCAGGCTTCAATGAGGTGAATTATAAAGCTGCCCCGCTCGTCATGTTGCGGAGCTCAAGTGGCCTCCAAGCGTTCCGAGAAAGCTCCGAAGCGCGCCTGCCAAGTTGCCAAGGCCGAGAGTCGGAGCTGTAGCAGGCTGTAGCTCCCGAGCTTACGACTGCGATGTGGCTTGCTTGGCTTGCGCCAGTTCCGAACCCATCTATGTCTTGCCTCGTGAGCATCGACCTTTACTCGCTGAGCCGCCGTGCGTGCTTCCAGGTCGTCGATACGCCGCAGCAAGGCACACCTCCGAAGGCGCGGGGTTGCAAAGTTAAGTTCCGCCGAGGCGATGAGGCAGGGGCTCCGTGGCAGCGGGCAGTCGCTCATGGAGAGGCCGAGGCACAGCGGCTTCCTCGGGGCATCGTGGAGCCGTTTGTGTGATGCCTTCGAACCCAACGCCGATCCCAAGCCCTCCCGACAACTCGACCAACAATGGGAAAAAGTTCGAGGGGCTGAAATGTCGACGCGGCTTTGCACATGCTCCGCTTCACCAACCCCCAATGCGCCCTATTCCGAACTGTCGAATGAGTACACAAGCCGTTTTACGGACATAAACTTGAAGAGCTGATGTTGGCAGCAAGGACCGGCCCTGCCTCACAGCTCCAGTTGCAGGGAATGCGAAGCATCTACAAAAATACCACAGCCCTTTGGAGTCAACAGTTTCCGCCGCTTGTATACTCTTCAATCTTGCTGACAAACATGACTTGCGCGGAAACAACACAAAACCTTACTTCCAAAGGTATGTGCGCGCATGCATATATACATTTGCTTTTATGTTTACATTACTGATATCCATACTCATATTTATATTCATATTTACATGCTTGTTCGTATTTACATGCACATGTATATGCATATGTATATGTACTTGCATGTACCTATATGAGTAAGTATGTACATATGTCTGTGTGTAGCTATATTCATATTATTTTCGATATGTATACTGATATTGATCTTTCTTTGCGAATAGATCTATGCATGTTTACGTGTAGACTCATATGTAACATGATATTCGTACCTTTTTTTACGTGCAGACGAAAAGTCTGAGCACAGAAGCCTAGCCAATGAAATGGAATCAAGACATAGAATCGTGTATCTTAGCATCGAAAAAGTGAAACATACGGAGTGTAGTCTACACTTCAAACAATTAAACTGCCTGTGACATAAAGATATGCATGACGTGGATATCATGAAGCTTGTATTGTGTGCCTGTAAAAAGTTTTATATATGTCCGAGGGACTGATAAAATTTGTATATAGACATCAATATGAACAAGTATATGTATAATTATTGTTGTTGATATCTTCGTTCATACTCAAAAACTGTGCGCATGCATTTGTATTCATATTGTTGTATCTACATCTATATGATATCTATATGTGAATTCATGAATATATTTATGTTTGGACTTTTACGTATACCTATACTTATATGTGTATATATACACCCATGTTTGTATTCGCATATTCACATTTACGTGCATCCTCATATCGACATGTACAAAAATATGTCTTCGTATACGTAAACATATATGTATATGGATATGCATATGTATATGTATGTATTAAGAAAATGTGAATTATGAATATATGCATATACGGATATATGAATATATGAAAATATGAATATATGAATATATGAATATATTAATATATGAATATATGAATATATGAAAATATGAATATATGAATATATGAATATATGAATATATGAACATATGAATATATGAATAGATGAACAGATGAAAAGATGAATATATGCGTATATGTATATATGTATACATGTATAGATGTATATATGTGTTTCTGTGTATATGTGTACATGTAGATATGTATATATGCATATATGTATATATATGTATATATGTATATATGTATACATGTATATATGTATATATGTATATATGTACATATGTATATATGTATATATGTATATATGTATATATGTATATATGTATATATGTATATATGTATATATGTATATATGTAGTATATGTATATATGTATATATGTAGTATATATGTATATATGTAGTATATATGTATATATGTAGTTATGTTTATATGTATATATGTATATATGTATATATGTATATATGTATATATGTATATATGTATATATGTATATATGTAATATATGTATATATGTATATATGTATATATGTATATATGTATATATGTATATATGTATATATGTATATATGTATATATGTATATATGTATATATGTATATATGTATATATGTATATATGTATATATGTATATATGTATATATGTATATATGTATATATGTATATATGTATATATGTATATATGTATATATGTATATATATGTATATACGTATATACGTATATACGTATATATGTATATACGTATATACGTATATACGTATATACGTATATAAGTATATGAATGTGGATATGAATATATGCATGTGTATGTATATGTATACATCCACATCACATGCATATATGCATGTATGTACATGTACATGCACACAGATATGGATTTGTATACGTACATGTTCATGTATATCTAAATGCATATATATTATGTATATTTGTATGTTATCTCTTTCCCGCTGCTCGTGACGCGTCCGATTCTGATGCGGCCTTAATCGCTCTAGCATTTGATTTATGAGTTACGAAATACAAAGAGCTCTTTTCATGTCCTGTCCATTATACATGAAGGAAGTCGAATATACCGGCCCGTGTATTTTTGAAGCAATACTCCAATAGTTGTTCTTTGCCTCATATGAATTTGGAAAGCTCCCCTGGAATTGAAAAGTTCATGTGCATATGCGGGC